TAAATATTTATCAATGAATCCATTCAATACTTCCAGTCGTGTTCCGATTTCGTTGACATAACAGGTAAAAGACTTAACTTTGTCAGTTTGTCACTTGAAATTAGGTCGCGCTAAACAAGTGAAATTAGCATTTGTAGAATTTATTAATATTATTATTTTCTTATTGGACACACCGATAGAAGGCCTGGTTTACCCTTTACCCATTTCCCAATTTTCTCCTTGCGTAGGATTGGGTTATCCACCTATCACTGTGTCTCTTTCAAGTCTAAACTCTATTATTTTTCACATGTTATCGCACACGATGGCGTAATATTAATTGAAAATTGATAAAAATTTCGTTAAATTTATATATAAAAATAATAATATTCAACCTTAATTCGCAAGTATTAACGTCAAAATTACATTGACCGAGAGGTGCAATAACTATGGGTTTAAAAAAGTCTACGATGACGTGTAGGACACGGTAGCTCAATTGGTTAGACAGGAACGCTTTGGATGACGGTTCAAGTCCCGCACGAATCGTAATAGTACATTATGATATAAGTGCGGTAAGTGGAAATTTCGAGCCGAGGCGATATTACTAATTTTCAAAGCGCACGTATGTCATACGACGTTTTAAAACATATTTACTAGGAAATTAATAAAACTCTAACTTAGTTAAACGAAGAAATCTTTAATTAATTGTTAAAGCAGTTATACAAATTTGAACAATTTTTAAATTGATTGTTACGTTGCCAGTTGGCACTTTAGCACAAAGCACAATAAATCCTAGGTGTATTATACAGATGAAGAGTATGTTTGTTTGAACGCGCTAATCTGCTAAACGCGATACCGATATACGAGCCGACATATGTTTATCTTTTATTATTAGTTTACAAGAAGGACGGAACGTGGGTATCATCTATTGTTTATAATAATTAGACTTAAGTGTTATATAAGTAAATGTAAGTGAGTATAAAAGAAGACAATGCAATAAAATGCAAAAGTCGTGGGCACAGCTAATATTATAATAAGCGTAAGTACCTATTCCATCTCGCCCCAAGACCTTAACTTAATTTAAACGTACGCGTGTAAGTACGTAGCGCAATTTATCACTGCGATGATTATGTTCCTGACTCGACAAGATATCGATTAATTGATAACATTACAACGTACTGATAGTATGTCTGAGTGGTTTGCAAACACACCTCGCTTCACTACGCGCTTCGAAAAAAATATGTGCTAAATACCAATTCATTACTGGGGTACGTAACTTAAGCATAGATTGAAAACTAAAAAAATTATCGCATTAAATTAACATCAATGAATTGACCAATGCAAGTACCACCGTGCGAGCGGCGGACCGTTAGAACCGTTTTAACTAACTAATTAAAACTAATATGTAATAAATTAAATAATTAATATAATTTCGTGTTTAAAACCTAACATGTGTTTTGTTTAAACGTGAATTAAAGCAATAATAAGTGACCTTCTGCTGCTGTTTGGACGGACAGAGGCGACTTTGTCCATTTATGCAAATTAATACTTTATTTTTTATATCAAGCTATTTATGAGAAACAAAGAACGCGTTACCTTCAACTTATGACTTGTTTCTGATCGCGTGCTATTTTAAATTCTTCTTATTGTGGATTTGAAGAAGAATGAGACACACACACACCCAATTTGCACACGATGTCGCCATGTAAATGAATAATCTATTGAGATTTAAATAAAACTTTAACCGTTTTCAGCGCGATATCTATTTAGAATAAAAAAAGTTGCAGCGCGGAAAACTGTGGATGCCGGTTCAAACCTTGCCTGTAACTTCAATTTTCTTCAGTCTAAAGAATTATTCCTCTTTAAATAATCTAAAAAAATGTCTGCGACAACATATGCGGATCTTTTAATATTACTTCACAAAACCCGTTTTATGATAATCAAATTTATATGACAAAACAACGTAAGCCCGGCTAGCTCGGATCAGATACAATCTATAAGTACTAAATATAAAAAAATGTCGCACAATTCGGAAGGGGTCTTTAGAGCAAAACAGAGATTTTTAGAGCTTAAATTTACTACACAGCGTTCAACAGCGTTTTTTTCAAACGCTAAGAATTTTATTCGAAATTAAAATAAGAACATTTCGCCTGCGCAGGATTCGAATCGATCTATAGTGTACTAACCACTAGACCAAAAATTAAAGCACTGCAAAAACTGATTTAATAATTATTAACATCAATTTCACCCTTCTCAAAATTTTCCTTTTGACTAACGTCAGTAGTACATCCAATTTAAGTTAGGCCACTTCATTGTAAGCGGTGCTTTTCTGGGTAACGAGGTTTCCCAACACTTGTTAAATTTCAATACCTCGTAATCTATTTAGGTCATATTGAAAAATATTCATTATTATCTACTGACAAACGTAGAACATGCTTCTTTAGAATATAGTGTGATATTGTTAAATACAGCAATTAAAGATATTAAAAAGTAATATTTAAATTCTGTCTATAGTTTACGCGAGTACATTTAAATAATCCCCGTGGTCACGGCTGCTGCAAAGCATCCGAAACGTCGGGCCGAAGTTGAAAATCATTTTCAAATAAGTTTAGCTAATATATCGCGTTTTAAACCGTTAAAGTGTTTTATTTGAAAGTAATATTTAATAAAAAATAGGAAACAAACTTATTAAGTGATTTGTTATGAAATCAAAACTTAAATAAATCACTTTTAACGGCTACAAGAAATAGAATGAATGTTTTCTTTGTGTTAGAGGACGATAGACAGCTTGGCGTTTATCATTACATCTAAGCAAAATGCACTTTCGTCCTATTTTAAGTTTGGCCGTTCAGAAATCACAGAATGGACTTTCGAAATCTTACCACATCCAGTACATATCCAGATTTCTATACATCGGACCCGCGACACGTCTGACTTTTACAACATACTTATTATAGAATGTTACGTATTAAACTCCAAGTATGACGTAATATAACTACTATCTATATAGGTACTACCTACCTAGGTAATAAATTATTATAATGACAAAACACTTAATAAACTGTGAAAGACTTTCACGGCCATCGTTCGCCATATCATTGTCACGTCGCGGTCGGCCGAACAGCCCGAAAGACATGCTGAAAAACACTTGTTACAATTAGACATATACAATAAGTTATCCAGAATTAATGTTAAAATAATAGAAATAGTGTTGTTTTATTAATAAAGGAGAAGAGTTGGAGAATGGTTCGAGTTGATCAATTTTTTTTGTGTTGATGGGACAATGAGGAATAAGTTATTCTTTATATCATTGATGGATTTTGTTGCGTGCGCTGCGAAAACGGTTCGAGAAACTAAAAAATATATATGTAACAATGATTCTCCTTTGAATATTAAAAAAAATGTCCGCAACACTAGACAGTATGTCTACCTTATACGGTTAATTCCGAAACCCCATTTTTATAAGTAATCAATTTTCGTGGAAATACTCCATTTGCTAGTTAACTAGTTTGTATATAAATAAACGCAACAATCCTAAAAATTAATCTGAATTTTACGAATAATTGTAAACTCCGCGAATTCGGGAACCATGCGAGAAATGTCGATATAACTGAAATCCATTTACAAGTTTGTTTAAAAGCGCTCCAGAAAGAGTTATTTTGAAAAATATCGTTCGCCGGAATGCACGAAAATTTTTAATAAACTACGGTATGTGCCCGTACAGTGCACACTGTAGGCTGTCTGTATGTACGTATACTACATGTCCAATAGTGCAATTGTGGCTATGTATGGCAAGTGACCGACGGAGTGTGGGTTGAATTCTAAATCTTAAATTACATTTTAAGTAACGCAGGATCCGAATCTGTAGTTCTAACGACACAACCTATCGTGGGTTTACGCCGGTCCAATATGTTTCTTAATTATTTCTTTTTTAATCTATTAGACACCGGGTTCAATTTAACCACATACGGCTAATTATATGTCGATCAGTTAGAGTAATTCAATAACTATATATAAACTCCAATTCTGTCTGCTGTATACGGTGATAAATAAAAATGGGGTAGATTTTTATATAAGACAGTATGCGACACACGAAACTCGCTCGGAATTTTTCTCTGTATTATGTTACTAGTTAAACATTCCTCAGCACATTTAGCCTGCTATTTCGCGTTGGCAGTGGAAAACTATATCCTCCGTGCTAATGTTATATATGTATGTTTAATCTGCCCCCAACAACTCTCGTGTTCGAAAGCCTGTTTCTGAATGTAGCGCAGGGGAAGCCACGGGCCTAAGCTGGTATTGTAATATTTATCATACGTATTGTAGCAAAGTACACAAATAAAAATGAAGTGTACAGATATTGGTATTTGCTCTGGAAGCGTTATTACATCGGCCAGAGTTGATGAAAGGGATCGCATGTAGCCAGCCTTTATCTGATGTATTTTGCGAGTAGCCATCACACGCGTTCGGCTATTCCATTGCAAATGAAATGAATGCAGTGTCAAATATAAGTAAAAAATCAATATTCATTGAAATACTTCCTCCATAGACTCCTATTATTAAGGGAAAGTTAGAGGAGTGCAAATTTAAAGAATGCTATAGCTTTTTATTTCAAATAAATAGTAAAGTATTTAGAGATTTTCAGAGATGGCCCACGCTTGACATTTGAAGCAGAACCGTACTCACTTAAAGCTTTACATTTTTGTTAAAATTGATAAAAAAACAATTAAAAGAGAAAAACACTAAAATATATATTTTTTTCTTTTTCTATCGATAAGAAATGACAAATTAATTATTATTAGTGATTTTGAAATTATTCTATCAGAATATATTATAAACTACTTGTTCACTGTTTTACCATTCGAGAATTGTTTTTAACACACAATTGTAAAAGGTTTTCTTGCAAAGGTCTTGACAAGATACTATAAATTGGTTTCAATATTTTTGAATTTTGTATCTCGTACATGGGTTATATTTAATAAATAAGTGTTTTTTTTGTAACAAGGATTTTTTTTTCAGTGAAAATGGCGGGCGGTAGCTACGGCCGAGGGCTGTGCTGCCCTATGTTTCGGAAGAGGCTAATTGTCTGTTTGCTGCTAATGCTTGCTGGCTCACTATGTACCATCGGAATCGTCACATCTGGATACTGTGAGTACAAATGACTTTGGCGTACTTTTCTCTTTTATTAAATAATATCTTCGAATAAGACAGCGGTGTATACCTCAAAACTTTAAATACCATACCAATTGTAAATAATACTATGTACAGGATTTTTATGAACGACAAAATTGCAAAAGTCCTCTTCTTTTCTTAATACATGCTTAGGATAGACAACTGGAACAATAGGATAACAAATCAATAACTACCTTAAATGCAATCATTTGCAGTTAATAAATAACATATTCAATATTAAACTATATTCTAAACCTGGCTTACAATGGCTTACAACTAATACCAAGAAAAAAATCTAAACATACTTTGCTGGAGAAGGCCATCTCAGCTGCAACATCCGCTTTTGATGATGTCCCAAACTAATTTGGATCCCAAAATAACTATTTTACGCTGATGAAGTCGCTAACACAACTAGTAGTAGATAATAAGGCAAATTACAATATGTCGCACCGAGGTTATATTGAGGTAAAAGCTTCCAAGGAATGTTTTTTTGACCTACGTTATTCTTGACATTCCTCACACAAGAAAATAATATGAATCGATCGAAACATCGCGTAACTTCGAATTCTGTAGTATATTTTTTCTCTATTTTATATCTTCTATTTGCAAATTTTACTATCGTAAAGACATAACATATGCATAAAGTCGCCATGCAACTCAATTTATTTCTAGTTGCCATGTTATTTTTCGTCAAAAAATTTCCACCTTTACTAAAAATGCATAGACTATTTCGTATACAAATTGACCGCCCCTACGATGCTGCATTACGTTTTCAGTCAGCTCGTCAGTCGTAGGTTCGAGTACCGTGAGGTACTTTTTAAAGTTTTTTAATCAATGTATTTAAATAAAACACTTTAACGGTTTAAAACATACTTATTTGAAATTTTTATTAAACTATGGTCCGACGTTTCGGATGCTTTGCGGCAGCCGTGAAGAGACCACGTCTGCTGCTTTCCAAATAAGTTTAACTAATATACATCGCGTTTTAAACCATTAAAGTGCTTTATTTAAACGTGTACTACTTGCGAAAACTGCAGACAGTATTTAAACTATGTATTTTACTTAAATAATATTTTTCCCGTTTAAATCCATTATTATTTTTTTATTTAAATGTGTACTACGCGCGCAACCTACATTCAGTACTTGGTTAAAAGTGGCTGAAAGATCGTGTAATACGTCATGCTACGCTAGTTCCACCTTAGGAGCCACCGAGCAAATTTGACTTTAATATTACCCTCCATCTTCATTCTCCCTGTGACCAAGGCTGTTCCAAAGCATCCGAAATAACGGGCCCTAGGTAAAATTCGTTATTATATATTATAACTAACACATTTCGCGTTTAAAACCGTTGAAATAAACTACTTTTAAAGTATTTGCAGGCCACGTTCTAAAGTATTAAAGTAATAGTAAGATTTATCATTATACGTCCTTATTAAAACCAACTTGTATTTGTGTGCTGATTCAATTCCATTCATTTGTACGTTTTGAATATACAGAATATATCCTGAGGCTACCCAACCAAACTTCAACACGATTGAAGCCATTTCAAACGCAGACGAGAATTGATATTCTGCCTCCTGCTAAATTTTCGATTTACCGTCGACAATTGAATTATGAAATTACGTTCAAATAATTGCACTATTAAAGTACTAAACTGATCTCACGATAAACTTTTAAAAGCTGTTAAGCGTTTCGAACCCAAAATAAATAGTTTTATTTCGGGTTTAAATCCACAACTTATTATACTCAAAGATTACAATTTATTTCAACTAAGATCAGAGGTTTCGGTCGATTTGCAGCAGCCGTGGTAACGGGCCTCGTGAACTAAATAACTTAACGAATATTTTTTGCGATTTAACTGTTAGAGTACATGAAATATTTAAAAAAGTTACAAACAATTATAAATTATATATAAATATGTTGGCTTCGGTGGGAATCGAACCCACGACGTTTTTTAATGATAAAGGAGGACAGACATAACTTAAAGATTAGTTTAATAACTACAGAAAAGAAGAAACTCAGAAAAGAGCTTGTGAAATGGGGGAAAGAAAGAAAGCATTCGCATCAACACCCAAGTAGAGGAGAAGCGTCGGTGTTCAGCGACCCCTCCCCTCCCCATCAAAAAGAAAGCGTGACCAACAATTACAAAACTTCAAACTTTTTAGTGAACTAAACGCAACTTTAAGTAAATAAACTTAGAATATTCGGGTGGATTGTCGAGTAAGTCTACCTCCTTGAAGCCAGTCTAGACACAATACCGCTAGAAATGTCGGTGCACGTCATACCCATCAGGATTTGATTACTTAAAGCCTCCCAAGGCTTCTAATAATGGAGGTATTGTCTCTATGATAACCCATTGTGTTCGTGTTCAACTCGATCTCATCTCATAATGCAATTCGACACATTGATGTCACGTATTTATACTGGTTTACCCACTGATGCACGGTATCAGGTTTCCGAAAACAAAAGAACGTGACCACCACTTCCGTCAAAGTTAAAGTCAAAAGTCGGTAGCTAGGTACACTTAAGAACATCGCATCAGTTCAAAACTAAAGGCTAAATTTAAACTTACCAGTTCCAAAATCAGGGGCATAGAATGAACAAGAAGAACTGGCAACAAACGTCTATGTTCAAGAGTTCGAATGAGGGTCGATTGAATTTTAAATATTTTGTTCGGGGAGCTTTGTAATGACAGTGGGGATGACGGTCGTACTTTCCCGATAAATTCCGTAAATTATCCACTTGTAAGTTGACAATTCGAAATTCGTTTCGCCGGGTGGTGATTTCTATTCGACTCAACAGCAAATTAAACAACTACTTTGTAGACTTGATCTTTATGTAAAGAGATCTACATGATCTACATGAAAAAAAAAAACAAAACGTGCAAGAATGTTAAAATACATACACGATATTTTATTTACTTTCACAGAATTTTATTCTGTTCAGTTCGTTGTCTAGTACATTAATTAATCGTACATAGTCTCATCGGTGCTCACTCAATAAATTTCTATTCTATCATCAACTTATTTGTAACTTCTCAAACTATAATGCATCCGCGATGTCAGGTCAAATTGATCGAATATATTTTGAGTTTTTGCATTTTCAGTTTTTTGCACTTTACGGCTTAGTAAAGTAATGGTTTTAACGTGTACAAAACAAAATGCAAAAAACGCATCTGTTTCAAAAGATTGTAAATTTTACAATTGATAAAGCCAGAAAGAATATTATTTTCAATATCAACAAGTTGTAGTTATATATAGTAATGTCTTCTCTTTATTACTTCATCTTTCTACTATTTACCGAACAACGAACGTTGTACAAATATTAATCTCATATCGGCGTAAACAATAAGATCTATGCTCTTGGGATTGTTCAATTCGAACTCAGTTTCTATAACAAACCTACCAATAACTAACAAGCTAACAAGCTCCCTACGGAATACTTTAACTGCCATAACTATTATCTTAATGATTGTCCATTAATCCATTTATTTTTAGATCGTGAAAATATATTTTCTTTGGAAAAACACTCTTCATTTGCAATAGTACTCTCTGATTTCTTTAGTAATTAAGCAATGTTTTGTTTTAAAAGGAATAAACAACCATTAACGATTTTTAAAAATTTATTTTTATACTGTAATTAATGCCTCCCACGGAGTCATTATTCCATTAGCATTAATTTAAAAAGCCTGAAACTATACCTACTTGTTTGCATTATTATAGCAGCACGGCACGCTGCGGATGCCGATTCAAGTCCCGCCCATGTCGAAAAACCTCCGTACTCTAAAAAATCGATTTTTAATTTACATGTTTATATTTGTTAAATGTTGAGTCGTATTTGTGGAATGTAAACTAAGTGGTCACTTGTATGCAAAGAGAATGAAATAACCAAACCATCCGTTTTAAACTCGCACAAATGTCGCTTTATCGAAAAGCTGACAAGAAATTGTCGAATAAATTGTTTAACACCCTTTTTAATTCATCCTTTTAATCGATTATAAATTTTATTATTAAGTTCTTTGCATTTTATGACCACAAGCATTTATTGCAACTTTAGTGCGTGTATGTGAAAATAGTTTTCGCGTGAAGAGATAAGTTATAACGTTGATGGACAAAAGTGTGTACCTAAGTTTATGAATGCCTTGTACTAACTAACTTTTATCGAATTATGCGCGAAAATTAAAACGAAGTATTCTGAAATGTATTCAGAACTCTAAATCCTATGACAAACTTGACGAACTATCTATGTGCAAGCCAGTTCGAAATTTAAATTAAACCTTTGACAAGTTACCTCTTTGGTTGCCATTTTGCTGAGTGGAAGATCGTTCCATTTTTAAATTACAATACAGATATGTCGTTACGACTTAAACACGTACGTTACGTTTAACAAATATTTTGGCTATTTAAAACTGTTTAGTTCACGCTTTTTTAATTAACCTGTCAATTGTTAAATATATAGATATTTAACAATTATGGTATAACGATGTATATAAAAAAATCTTTTACTAGCGTAAACTACAGTCAATACCTGTCTAAACATATTACTGAATTAATCTGCGTAATTGAAATTGAACGTTGGCTGTTTAAATCGACAGTGAAGAGATTACCAACATATTAAATTTGGATCTAGTTGTCTGTTATTCGACGTAAATTAATTTGTAGAGCGGACATCGATTAACAACTAAACAGGACATAATTAATTTACCTTTAAAACCGTTATTTCCAAGCTGCGACCAAAAGAAGCGAAGAAACAGCGGGAAATGTGGAGAAAACGGGGAAATTTATTCATCATTGCGGGTTTCCGCCGCGGACGGTACGATAACGGTTACCCAAAAAATATGTATAAAAGAATGACTTCTCTTTTAAAAAATATATATATATATTAAATAATCTAAAGAATGTCTTTAAATATTAACTTGCAAGATCGACGGGACGCGACCGACGTCGTGGGCAACAGCTAGTACAACATAAAGTGCTTAACGCGGTTATGGTAACAATAAGAAATAAACCTTCACTTTCTCGTGTGATCAAGGATGAAATAATTAATAGCGAACGTCGATCTCGTTGGGCCACCTATGTTTATAGTTTCCGGGTGGGTCCCGCGGAATTATGTCAATTAAATTTAGAGTGATATTGTTATCAGTCAATAACAGCTAGTTATAAATATGAGGGGGAGGTACTATTTTACGCGGACGAAGTAGCAGCTAGTTAGTTGTTTATAAGTTGGTTGTACTTAACAACTTGAAGTTTTTTCTTCTACTGTACTCCTCGATAACTCCTGTAAGTCGATACCAGAATTCCTTTTTTAACATTACTTTCTTTATTGTAAATGAGGTTTTTTTAGTTTATTATCCTAGTTACAATTTAACCCAGTTAAAGAATTCTGAGATATCCAAAATACTGATAAGTTAACGTTATTGCAAGTGACACAATGCTGAATCAGAAGTCAGTTAAAAGCACAGCGAAGGTACAGTGAGTGGGTAGTTAGATTTAATTTTAAAGCTTCGCCTCATTACAGCCCGACTACCTCGTGAATACCAAGTGGAAAGTCAGATTGCAGAAATGCAGACACATCTTAAGTTTTTGGAATCATTGTACAGGGCGAGACAGGAGGACATTTTGAACTTACAGGTAATATTGGGCCTTTTGTGGCACTTATGAAAGTGAAAACACTTCGAAAACGAATGAAACTATGTACTCTCGTAATGAGACTCAGATAATGCATATTTCTTTTTTTTTTTAATATGTAGTATCATTAGTACATTGAATTGAGGTTAACTAGCCGCTAACTAATTTTAAAATCGAAAATAAATTGAAAAATTTTTCGACTCGGGCTATGATTTGAACCGGCATCGTCAGCGTTCCGTGCTGTTGCTCTACCACTTGAGCTACCGAGTCGGTAGAGCAACAGCACGGAACGCTGAGGATGCCGGTTCAAGTCCTGCCCGAGTCGAAAATAAAATTAATCAATTTATTTTCGATTTTTAAATTACATAGTGCTAACTATTAATTTATTATCTACAGTACCAGCCTTCATCTTAAAATATACTAAAATATAATTGTATTACCTTCATAGTTCCCAACTTATTAATTTAAAAGTGATAACTTACATTGATATGTACATAACATCCATGTAGAAATTTTGTGAAAATAAAATACTTTTTTTTATTGATATTTTTCTTTTGTAAGGGGTAAATAAGTTGAGTTGATTTTGATTAGATTACGTTTCCATGTTAGTTATATTTCGCCTACTACTGGCTTTACAGAAGTTTTACACTGTACCGGAAATAATGAAGTTATATTTTTTCAGCACCAAATTGGAATGACCACCGTTAACGGATCTCAACATGCTACGTTGGCATTTGATCAAAGCACTGTTGCTTCTGATGTCACGGCTCTACTCAATGTTTCCGGTATGATTTGACGAACGCTTTGTAAAGTACAAGTTAACGTACGGTAGTTTTTTTTTATGATAAAAGAGGACAGACTCACTTGGAGTTCACCTGATAGGAGGTGAAATACCTCAGCCATATCTACACAAGATGCGCTGTCGATGGCTTCGGATATTCGGAAATCCACAAACTGATTCGTAATTTAATATCCAGATTTCCAGACGAAGAAAAATTGAAAACGTGTTGGTACCGGTGGGGATTGACTTGCTTATTAGCCATACATTGCTAGCAAGCCCTTCAAAAGCCTTCAGGCCCATAAATATCCCATTTGTGAGAACCTCATATGCCTTATCGAATCGGCGAGCAGGCGGGCCCGACAGCGGAAACTATTAAAGAATAAAGTTTACCGCAAATGCGAAAGATTCTATTGTAGGCGCCGAACGAATGCGGCGTTTGCTCTTAAATCTATCGAATGTTGTGCCTCTTTACTGGAAATATTTTAGTACTTTTATATCGGTTCAAGTCTCGCCTGTGTCGGATCTTTTCTCCACTTTCTCCATTTTTTAATTCACCAGTAACCAAAATTTAGTAATTCTTATTAACATTTGCTCTCTGCAATTAGTTAGTTGTTCAAAATATGCATATTCCCTGTTGAGTTTGACACCTAATTTGTTTTGATAGAGATCACTTTAATTTTCGTTGGCAGACGCCGTTATCGACTAATGTTGCTACATTTTATCGATTTAGTTATAATTATTATTATTACGTTGGGACGGCATTGGAATGTAGTTATTATATCGTTGGATTTGTGAAAGAAACGCTATTTTACAATAATTCCAAATGTTAAAAAACCTTCAAAGATATAAAGTATAGTTTAGCTTACATTGCGCGAGAGGTGCAAGTCAATAGGTTGAAAAAATTTGACGATGACGTGCAGGACACTGTAGCTCAATTGGTTGAAGCAACAGCACGGAACGCTGACGATGTCGCTTCAAGTCCAGCCCAAGGCGCATTTTTTCTATCTTTCTATCTCTATTTCTTTCTATCTAAAATTGATATAAAATAGATATTATATATAACCTACAAAAAAGCGGCGAACTGCATAGAAATGTAAATCTCTTAAGGTTTATCTATTAAAAAATGTTAAAATAATAATATTCAATACGTTGATTGCTGTAAGCATACACTGTAGACAGTAAAAGTGAATTTCTTTATTCCCTACGTAGGGGTAGGGCATGAAAGAAAAAAGAAAAAGTTAGTAGAAAGTTTAGACTTCTGTCTTCTGTCTGTCTGGCCGAAGTTATGTCGCGGGGTTCGAACTGAGGGCCTCCAAAGTATAGCGCTATGCGTTCAAAGGCACCACAAGGCAGAAAGTAATTTAAATGGAATTGCTTCTGCAAAAGATGAAATTAAGAATACTTTTACCCAAGTATAACTTTCAAATTTAATCGGAGTCCACAATTATTAAATAAATATTTATAAAATGGACAATAAATACGACATTTCAAGTAATTCAACCACGTTTTAATGTTGTTCTTTATTTTATTTAGGAAACTACTATGCTCGAAATAAATGTATGTAAACACTCAGAGACAGTAAACAAGTGACAACATTGTAATATATTAATAAATACTTCAGTGAGAAAAAATGTCCTTAGAGTACAAAAACAGCTTGTTTTTAGAAATGTGTGGTATGTATAAGTTTTTTCTAAATTAAGGACTTTTTAATTATCTGTTAAACTTTATTCTAGGACAAAAAGGAAATAACAAGAGTTGAAAATAAATTAATTTTATGTATCGATGCATCTGGGTAATATTATTTTTTTTGTGTCTACTTGTTTTGTGCAAAGTTAACACGAGCCTTGTATAAAAATACTTTCGATCTTCCGAAGGCTACTTTAAAAATGCCGCATCGCATCCGAACCCAATTGCCCGGGTCGAGCACTACATTCTGTCCGTCGGTACTCGTCGAATGTGGTCGCGGCTTATATACGACGATGACGTAACCGAAGCCGGAGACGCGCTTGTCACTACGATGCGCCGGCGCCGATGGTCCACAAAAGTATTTACCGCTCACTCGTGCCATCTTTTGTCCACCTCCTCCGTCTTTCAGCTTCATTCAACGTGCAACTAGTATTGCTCCGAGCCAAATTGTTATATTTTTAGAGACCAAGAGCTAAATAAGAAAAAGTAATAATTATTAATTGGTTCTGGTTCGATGCAATAAACAAAACAACACTAAATTGTTTCAAAGAAAGACAGATTGACTATTCCATCAAGTCTTTTTTTATTAAAATAACATATTAGGCCCGGGACTACAAATACTAAACGGACGTTTTCTTGACGGCTAGACCAAAGGTGCCGCAAGGGGGGCCCGTAGAAATGAGGCGGGCTCGAGCTTATACACACTTGTCACCATTCTCATCCCCTCCTTGACGACATCACCAAAGTATTCCTCTTACAATATAATCAATACAGAAAAACGTTTGTTCACAGACTCCTTAGTCTCGCAAGGACTTCACTCCAAGGAGTTGTCGCTCATGAAGACGGTGTTCGTGTTCCAACTGCTGCCGCACCTGATGAACGACCCGGGTAGTCTTCGTCCAGCCTTCCACATGAGCGGGAACCGGGGATTCGTCAATAACGTCATCGGTATACCCACTGTGAAACGCGACAAGGAATCCTACCTTATGATTACTCTGTCGGTAAGTGACTTGTATAAAGATTTTAAAGGGGAATTTTTCACTTAGCATTGTTTTTTTTTCAAAGTAGTAAATTCTATATAAATATTTGTTCAAACAAAATAATTCTCCCATACTTACTTAGCACGCCTTTGCAGCAAATCTTTCAATAATCTACTTTGCACTTTGTTAAGTACGTGGGGTAAAATTCCTAAATTTTTTACTTCATATCTCAGAAACATAATCACGCAAAATGTTTCTTTCTACAGCAGCAATCAGCACAAGAGAAATTTTCTCAAACGCAGTGCTAAGTATCCCGTTTCCCCTCTACATGGCGTAAATACATTTTTAATGTTCTACTCATCCGATATCAGTGCCCTGGCCACCAAAACTATAATGTTTTACCAGAGGTACAAACTTCTCATGCTAAACACAAAACTAGGCGTTTAACCACTGAGCCATTCTATGAAAAGTTTTCTCTAAACGGCGTTACATCGAATTGTCGTCATATTTCGCACGTAAAATCTTTTGACTACTGACTGTACGGTTCTTTGATTTGGCATTATATACATTAAAACTGTAACACAGTAGCTCATTTGGTTAGAGCAGCACGGGACGTGGATTTTACATTTTCACTCAGTAAATTCTTTTTTGTTTTTATGTCTACTTAATTCGATTTGGTAGTTATAAATATCGCATCGCGTTAATTATATGGGCTATTCCACCTACTCCTCCACTATCATAAAAATCTATAGAATGTAAACTACACCCTCAGTACAGAGGTAGTTAATTAAAACGAAATTGCGTACGATAATATTGGATAGTATTGCGTTCCACCCGGATATTACCGAGGTGATATGATAGATATAGGGCTCGGTCCTATCCGCAAACAAAACCAGATCAGTAATTGCACTGTGCACTATTTGTGCCGGATATTGTGCGTCTGTAAATAATAGCTTTCACGTACAAGCAAAATCGGCTTGAAACTACCCTCAATCACACACGATCATCGGTGTAATAGTAGCAATTTGTGGCTAATAACGGTTCAGCTTTCCATCCCTATCGGAACGGTTTAAAATGCGATGTATATTAGTTAAACTATTTGAAAAATATTTTAACAACGGCCCACCGCTTCGGATGCTTTGCAGCGTGATCTGAATCGTCGGGCCGCGCGTCAGCGTATATTAGCGTTAAAATTTAAAAGCGTTTCGGTCGGCAGCGCATCGTGGTGGGATGCTATAAACCCATGCTTGTCTGCCATCCTCTATCGCAATGAAAAGTATCTCCTTGTCAGCCCATTTAATCCGACACGAGTAATATAAACACGGTAATAAATTGAAATTCACAATTCCCATTTAAGTATGAAGGATTAATTAATATATCGTATTACTTAAATTGTTAAGCTGATGGAAACTCCATTTAATTTTAAAAACATTCAAAGCTTACATTTGTTCAGCATACGTCTGTCAATAGTCGGCTTAAAAATTATATTAAGTGAATTGAGTTTTGTCTGTAGTTAACGCGAGTAGAATAGGTTTAAATAAAACAGTTTTAACGGTTTAACACGCGAAATATACGTTATCGCGCGGATTCACGTTTCGGATGCTTGACAGTTAACTAAAATATTTTGCGTTTAAAACCGTTACAAGCGTTGTATTTAAATAGTTTTATATGACTGTATACCGGTATCTCAATAGCTAATCATAGTGCAATATAAGCTTGGTTTGTTTGTAATAAATTTTGAAAGTTAGCTTAAATTTCGTCAATTAAAAAAATCAATGTCGTTAAAATATTAAAATAGTGCTCAAAGTCACTTTATACAGAGGCGAGAAACACCGGTCCTCGAGTACATTCCAACTTTTTTTAATACAGTTTAATATTCGACTTTTGTTTTGTTATCGTAAGATGAAGAACATTTTCAGTCAAGCTTTATAACAAAAGATGCAATATTTAAAATGAGACGCGACGGCAGTGCCCTCCCTCAGTTAGAGACTACAAAACTTCATAATAAAATAAAACAAATAGAATGCCATTGTAAAAATGTTTAATACTCTAATTGTTGATCAAGAGAAAAGTGTCCTCGGCGCTGAAAGCGAGTGAAGAAAATTGAAATATTTCGAAGTTGTTAGCTGCAACACTTCCTTAATTAATTCAACGGATTGACGATGTTTTAGTTATTGTTCTCCTCTTTCTCTTATTTCACAGCAGATCTATCTGTAGAAGGAATTGTATGAAGTCGATGATGGTAGGTGTAGTACCCCGGTCGTAGACACCTAGCCAAGCTGCGCTGACGTATTTCAGGCCGACGGTTTTGGACCCGGTCGGAATTTCCATATTCCTACCACCCATTTAATATCCAGAATCTGGAATTAGACATGTGTTGGACCTGATGGGGATCGTACCCACGAACCGTTAGATTTTAACCATTGGCACCATTACAGCCCGTCAGAAGGGGTTAGAAGGCCCCTGAGATCCGGGTTCCTGGTGTTCTGAACCACCTGTCCCTAGGATAGCTCCGTCACTTATCTAGCTTTTTGTACTATAGAGTGTTTCTATTGCAGCATCTGATAGACGGGTTGACTGAGGAAGACATGGGCGATACCTTGATCATCGTGTTTGTTGGTGAAAGCGATCTAGACTTTGTTATCCAAACCGCAAAGGAGATCGAAGCTAAGTAAGAAAGTTTTTTTTTAATGGAATTTTATTTGTAATAATCATTTTATTCAACTGTGCGTACTAGTTTCCGATAAATAAAATATTTTTTTAAAGATATTTTTGTCAAAAAATACTTTTTGCCAATAAAACCTGAACCTACAAAAAAAACCACCAATTTTATTAACTTTGCCTATGAACTAAATTGCCAAATGAAAAATTGCCTTCACATAAAATATTCTCTCTGTTTGCTTTGGCTACAAATTGCTTTTACTATTTATTCACGATCGAAAATAAATACGTACGAATTACGTTTTTAATTATTTGAAAACTTTAATATTTTTTACATGTTATTGGACTACACGTAATGGCTCCATATAGATTAAAAATCGAAATTAAATTGAAAAAGTTCACGACTCGGGCGGGACCGACATCGTCAGCGTTGAATGCCGGTTTTAGTAATAAATAATTAAGAATAATTATAAAATCCATTTATTGTGCTTCTCTTCTCCGGGTGTTTGTCGCTGTGAATGCTGCTTCAAGCCCCTCCCTTTTCCTCATATATCGCAGTTGTTCAAGTTAACAAATGATACAACCACAGAAATAACTTATAAAGAGATAAAAAGTTCCTTATAATTATATATAGTTCCGCTTTTTCATTTTTAGATTTTCGAAGCACGTCCGCAGTGGTCTTATCGAGTTGCTGTCACCATCTGCGTCATATTACCCGGACTTTGAAACGGTTCCGTTGACTCTCGGTGACTCCGGTAAGCGTGTCAAGTGGCGCACCAAGCAAAACTTGGACACCCTGTATCTCATGGCGTATGGACAAACCAGGGGCACCTACTACCTTATGATCGAGGACGACGTCATTGCCAAGAAAACGTTCATGAAGGTATTCTTATATAAACTAAGGTTTTTCACTTCGTACTAAATATGGCATGGTGTTTGTATTTTTGATCCAAATAAAATAGTTTTTTTTTTATGGAAATGACTTAAGTAATACACTTTTAATAGTTGTAGCGTGAAAAATATAAGTTAACTAACTAATAAATTTCAGGGTTCAAACCGTTATAAGTGTTAAATTTGAAATAGATTAATTTAAATAAAACGTTTTAAACCGTTAAAGTGTTTTATTTAAATGTGTATTACTCGCGTAAACTATAGACAGTATTTAATAGACTAATTGTTTTCACGTAGTGTGCAAGCTGCAATTTTGTGTACGGGCCAAAGAGCTATTCATACTTCAATAAAGACTTTAAACGGTTTAAAATGTAAAGTATACTAGTTAACTTCAATCGATATTTGGTTTTCAAACGGCGGGCAACTCGAATCCCACGCTTGCCTGTTCTCCCCGAGCATAAAAGAGATCGATGAATTTTCAGGAAATAAAGCAGTACACGGCTTCAACTTCAGTGACTGTGCCGAACTGGTTTTACATCGAGTATTGCAACGTGGGGGGGATCGGCAAACTCTTCAAGTCTTCTGACCTCATCCACTTCATCACATACGTCCAACTCTTCTACTACAACATGCCCATCGATTGGCTGCTGGAGAGCTACCTCGCTGACCGCGTTTGCACCGTCGACAAGACGAGCGTACGTACTAGTTCAATTAAAACCCTTTAACCGGTTTTAAATTCGAAATTTATTACGGCCCGACGTTGGAAGCTGCAAAATAAGTAATATATTGCCGTTTTAAACCGTTAAAACGGGTTTATAGGCCACTTAAAAAAAGAACCAGAAAGCTTATTTTGAGGAAAGAATCGAATTTTTGCAGTTTATTTTTCATTTATGAAATGATTTTTCAAAATAAAACAAGGAAGTGTTCCTTACGTTTTTTAAAGGATTTGGAAACGTACACTTACAAATTGATATTTCATGTTATTTGTTGTTTACTTTTTTGTTTCAGGCAAATTGTGGCAAGAACAAATTGCTTATCCGCCCCAAATACAAGGATTCTCTGTTCCAACACATTGGCCTATATTCGTCTTTGAAGGGGAAAATACAGAAAGTCAAGGCAAGTTTAATACTGACCAAGTAATAAGAATAATTATAGAAAATAAACATAATATGTTTACTCATTCAAGCCTTTCTAATAAGTATTGGCGGTTGTTTACGCAAGTAGTATACTTCAAACGGTTTAAAACGCGTTGTAGCATTAAAAAAAAAATAATTGAGCATTTTTAACCGCTAATATTGTTTTATTTAAAGCTTTTTCATTCTTTCACGCATACGAGACTGGGTGTCTACTAATTAAATTACGTATTGGGTTTCGGCAAGAACTACTAATCAAATATTTGCATTACATCTTTTGCAGGATCCCAAGTTATCGAGCGGAATGCCAAATCATTTTCCCCACAAAAATCCACCAGCCAGGAGGGTCTGGACTGAAATAGAGACTCAGGCTGAACACAAATTGGAAGCTGCGTATAGGGGGGATGGATTTTTCTGGGGCATTAATCCAAAAGTGGGAGCTACCATTGAATTCTGGTTCGAAAACCCAATAGATCTGGCAAGGTAATCGTTAAGATAATATCTATTTTATCGGTTTGAAATCCAACCGTTTTAACGGTTTAAAACGCGAAATATATTAGTTAACTTATTTTGAACTTCAGTAACTACGATACGATTTCGAATAACCGCACATTTTACCTACAGTTACACGTTCCGCTCCGGCAACGGTCAACACCCGAATGACAAGATCAAGGACACGGTAGTCGAAATATACACTCACACCACGAAGACTTTCGTCGTGGTCGATTCGTTTGATGAATTCGGACTTGCTGATGGCGCTATTAAGAGAGACTACTTCCCAATTGAAGGTATCAGGCTGCGTGTGATCAAGGACATCCCCCATTGGATTGTACTTAGCGAGGTAACGTCGTTTTATTTTGGATCTTAGCGACTTTATACCTTATTACCTTTCGTTCGTTCAGCGATTTTTTTTTGTTTAATTTATATTGTAAGCAAAGCGATATACATTTCTGATGTGCAACGCAATAAATAATGCTATTCAATATATGCAAGGCGAAATATATTATTTGCGAATTGAGTCAACTACGAAGCTACAGCTACGAAACGAAAGACGCATAAACATTCAATATAATAACAATTTGTATTTATTGTATAGTGACCTCCTACATATTAAGTTCAGGCTATAGAAAAAAATAAAGTCAAGTACGGAATTCTGATGGAATTTTACACGTTCATAGAGTTTTGCAGTGCTCAGAAATGTTTCCTAGAAATCCCGTTTTTCCCTGTGGGGCTTGCAAATGGGGCGAGCACATTTCTGCGTCCGTTTCACTGATCGGGTTTTATGCAGGCAAGTTAATCAGACCGCCCTGACCGACAGAAACAATGTATTGTTTAATGCAATGCTAGGCAACACATTTAGCAAATTTACGCTGGCGAAACGGGTTTTAACTTTTTTCTTACATTGCTATAGAAGCGCTGGTCGAATTTAATATAAATGTGGGTGATTCAAAGTCAAAAATCATTTATTCACGTAAGTAGGCATAGAGCGAACAAGAAACTCGTCGAAACATTCCTTTTATCGCCAAATTTCGTGTAGGTACTTTTGGTGCACAACTTTTTCTTTTTATTAGCCCAGACTTAGATCGTTAACATCTTCCACAGATTGACCTCAAGACATCTGACAAGGTCGGGCAGGAATGACGCCAGGTTCACGCGCCAACGACGCGCATCCCCATTCATCCAAAGAACGCGTACATGAAATACAACAATCACAGAATCTTGCTCGGCTAAACTGCGCTTCGGACGCGAACACTAGCGTATCGTATAGCTGTCACTCTGACATCCCATGACAATGACGTTTGAACTTTGACAATTTACACTTGCCACTGTGACAGATTGCGATAAAGCTAGTGGTACGTTCCCGGTGATCTTCTGATAGCTTTTTCGAATGTACGTTAAACATACAGATTGGCTTGAAGTGTCTGGCGTTATTTGTTGTCTGTGACAGTACAAAAACTACATTAAATAAACAAATTAGTTTTTAATTTAATAAGCATTAGTTCAAGCTGTTAGAAGATCGCATTTTAACGACTTGGCACACTTTAATGGTACGAAATATACACCGTTCCTTTAAATTAGTTTACCTAAAGAAATAAGATTGTTTTAAACAATTTTACTGGTATTAATTATGTTTTTAATTATCATAATTTTATAGCGTATTATTTTGCTCGTGCTTTTAGGTAACGTACAGATTATTTATTTTGTATTTTTTTACCTACTGTTTGTTATATGTATGTTGCGTTATTTATTTTTAATTAAGTTTAGATAGATGGTATTTAGGGCGTGGTAAGAACAGGTTTAGAGGAAACAGCTGGTGAGATGGCCGGTACATTAAGGATGATATTGAACCAAAGGTAAACGACGAGCATTTAAATGTACCAATATTTACTCACATAATATATTCAATGTATTTATGTGTTAGATTGTAAAAAAAAAGAAAACGTGTTTTCGGCTGGCGATCCTCGGACCTACGTGAAACCCAATTCGACACACTAAAGAGGTAGACGGGTGGTTGACCGGTAGTGTAAGTAATATTGTTTGCAATATTTCACGAACCACATATGGTCAGTTTGAATCATCTATGGAGATTTGGTAACTATTGTCTTCTTCACCGGCAATCGGTTTGGTAATACTAGACTCGCGATCAAAGGCCGTTAACACAGCCAAAAAAACATTATCTGTGTCTATATCGATTATCTATATAGTATTAATATAGCTCAAAATAGAATAATTATTTTTGAAATCGATATCTCAACTTTGTTTTACGTGCATTTATAATTTTGCAAATGAATTACGAAATTACATAGAAAAACGATTCTTGTAATATATATAACATATAATTATTTTATTTATTCTTCATTGGTTTTACTTTACGAGTTTGTCTCTTAACGCAAATGAGTTTTAGCTCTTCATTTCACATTGGAAACATTTACAAGAAATTAAACGGATTTTAAACAGGTTTTTTTTTGTGTAAGCTTAAGATTTATCGATTTCAAAATCTGCTTCAAACCGTGTTAAATGACTAGCGAGTGTTGTACAAATAGTTATTTTTATTAATAGTAAAAGGATAGACAAAGGAAAGGAGTAAAAAGCTCCGGCGGTGACTACAGAAGAATTTGAATTGAGCACTTTGCAACATAACCGTAGTTTTACCTACCTTTTTAAAGATAAAACTTCAAAAACAACAACTGGATCGAAATGTCTTAAAACAAGTGGATTCGACTTTAGTCTTCGCTGTGCACAGAAGTGAGAGTTTTATCAATACCGGTTTGTCACCATCAGAACATGTACTTACCTTTAAAATAGATAAAAATCGATTTTAAATTTTAAAAAATTTACGTCACGGGCAGAACTCTCACCGACATCCACAGCGTTCCTCGTTGCTCTAGCGAGTTGAGCCACCGTGTCATACACATCGTCAATTTTTTTCAATCTAATGATAGTTGCACTTGCATTGCAGCTTAACAACGCTGCGGATGCCAGTTCGAAGTCCTGCCCGTGTCGTAAAATCGATTTTAATGTATTCAATGCCATCATACGCAATAACATGTGAAAAGACAACAACAAGTTTGTAAGATATTTTTAATTCAAAAGTTCTCGACGGTAGAAACTCCCACTTATGCAAATGGTTGCGAGATTAGGCTAATGTGTAGGTAATAATTTTGTTGTATTTTATGGTGCGGCAAGAGCAACGAGAAGTGACTGTAGGTTTACAGGGAACGCGTAATTGTTAAAGGAAACGAATTTGTATACACTAGTTAATCATTTACAAGCCAGAGTAGTTAGGTTTTCCGTATAATAAATGTGACTGATGTATTAGGACGTAAGTAGGTTAGGCTCGGCATTTCCCGTGGTCGATTCACTATCTAGGAGATCTTGTCTATAGTATGGTCACCGGGATGAGTTAATACAGTTGTCTCTTTCCCACACTTTACTTCGAAGAACACGGACAGAAAATCGATTAACTAGTAATTCATTCCGTTGAATAGGCTATAGGAAGAACACCAAAAGTGACATTCTACAATGAATTGAAATAAGCTGTGTACCTATTGATAAGGGCTCAAGTGAAGATTCATTCAGTTAAAATAGGCTAAAGTTTGCTCTAGTTATTAAAAGGATAGGTACGCAGTTCCAAAGATATACTCCTTGTAGTGAATCGCTACTGCTTCTCTGTTCTGCCTCCTGCAGGGACCACTAAAGGTTACTTGTTACAGTTTCGTTACACTAACGCTACTTAAGTTTTCGTTACTGGATAACATTCCTACGATAAATTAGTTATTTAAGTCTCGCACAGTCCACGAATAAGTTGCGTTTCACACGTACGCGAAAATTGATAAATGTGCAAAATTCATTTTAAGTGTAGTCTATCGAAAATTATTATTGAAATAATATGCTTAGTAACTGAATAAAAAAGTCTCTACGACTTTGAGCAAAGAGCGAACTCGTATGAAATACTCCAATTTGAAAAAAAATGGAACCGAATGACAAACAGTAGTCCATCGTAACGGAAAGCGGAGGTTACCGAAGGCTTATCTAGACAATTAGTTCAAGTAATGGGTGAACCGCTTTCTGCAACTGAATCGGCCTATTTCCGGGATATTCGAGCTGGCGACCTCCTTATTGCACAAGGAGAGGCCGACATCAACTGCAATGCGGAATTGATAGATAATAGAGTAGATGCACTTAAAATGACTTGACACATAAGTTGTCACTAGTTATAACAGGCTTACTTCAATATAACACAGATTATACTTATTACATAGATTAACTGAAAAGTTTGTGAGTCCCTGCAATATTCACAGCTTCTCTACGAGTTAATGGTATCCAAAAATGTTTGGTTTAATTCTTACATCCTTTCTTCTACGCGTGCTATCTTCTCGTTCTTCAATGACTGACCTAACAAATATTACCATATTATTTTCGCATTTAGTTACTTTGTTCAACAAGGAGCCATATTTTGTTTTGTTTTATTATTTTTGATGTTCGATTTATTTTATTATAGGCAAACGTTTAACGGACATTAGTTATTAATTACAATAGCTAGGATTTTAGTAAGAAATAATTCTAAAACACAGTTTTATTTTTGTAAAATTATAGATTATAAAGAAATTTTCGAAGACTTTATGTACCTATATTAGTTAAGAAAATTCTAGTTTGTAAACATAAATAATTTTTATTGAAAATTTGAGCGATCGAATCGTGTTTAATTGTAGGTTTTTTTTATATTTTATCGTTCATTATGTTTATGAGGTCGAAATTCGCCAAAGGTTCGTATTTTAGTTAGAAAATGTTTAAAATTTTACTCGTTGTTCCTAAAACTGGAGTTTTGTACTTAAGAAGTGTGAGAAACAGAACTACACATACCGTCTGTCAAACTCGAAAAATTTCCTCTAAGAGTTCCTTCAAGTACTAATTCATGTTTACTTTAATTTTCGCTACTTACTCGTCCTACGATTCAACTTATTTGCTATAATAACTGTTCCTGTGTCTCTTAGCGAGTAATTTATATGTGTCGTTCGATGTTCAAATACAAAATAATAAAAAGTCAACTAGTTTTATTTCTACCCACAAATATTTACTTTACCTGAGATTTAGTTTACTTTGCCTATCTATTCTTCTACAGTTTAATTACAACACGTTTAACTCTTTAAACCCCACTATATATTAGTAATTTTTATTTAACTACAATGCGATATTTCAAATGGTTTGCAGGTGGATTTTTGTGTTTTTACAAAATATAAAAAAAAAAACAGAAATTCTGTCGTAACTTTAATTTCTAACTACACAAGTAACCTTATTCTACAACATATAATTCGAAATAAATATTCGATCGTGAATTATGTTCGAGTTTTTGCCCCCTTTTTCTCACATAAAATATGTTTAAATGGAGGTAACTAATACCAAGTACTCACTACCAAACTATATCCGTAACCGCTGTAGTAAGCACACGAGATTCTATAGTTTGCGCTTGTTCAGTGCACAAGGACTATTTGTGTCCATGACTACGGATACAATTCACTAGTGAGTACTCGGCTTTACTCGTTCTTATTGGTTGGTTGGTAACTTTTATAGTGACAACACTTGCTGTATTCCCTAATTTTCGACCGCGAACTTTATCGTCACTTACATACAGCTGCTGTAACTAATATCTATTAACAATCAAAGCTTTGAAGGGTGCGGCGGACGGCGTCGCACCATCGACATGGTTCAGTGAAGGTAAGCCTTCGCCGGGCACCGGAAGGACAGAGAACTTCTGCAGCACTGAAGTGGTGAAGAGGAAAATGTTGCATTTAGCGAGAACATCGCCCAGGCAACGGTGCTTTGACAAGCCAAACGGGAAATAATGTTCGGGCAAGCAGATTTTTCCGTTGGATATGAAACGCTCTGGTTTGAATGAGTAAGGGTCTGGATACAAATTCTCGTCCATCAATATATTCGTGTAGTTAGACACGACCATTGTGTCCTGGAACAAAAGAATAACTTAGTATTTGAATTTGATTGCCTTCTAGGACTGGTCTGGACGAACGGCGTATGTCGAGGTAATTTGACCTATTTACAGGACAATTTTAATAACATAGAAAGTAATAAAATAAACTTAATGACAAAGTAAGTTATTCAGTAAGCACCGTGAGGTGACATTGAAATTCCAGTGTGTTAATATAGCTTTAACTATAATTATGACGTTTATATTATATAACATTTTGGACTTCGTCTGAAAATGTAGAAGTAAAATGGTCAGTAGGAGTATCGATATTCCGTCCGGGTCACGAACCACCGCCGCTAAAGCCACAACTGGGTCGCCTGCGCATCGTGCTTAAACGTTATAAGGCTGGGGTGTTTCAGCTTCCATCGAGTGACCTCTATGCTCGTCTGTTCGCCTCTATCATTAAAAATAAACGAAGAATACCTTTGGAATGTTGTAGCCAGCGAGCGAAGTGTCCTTCATAGCTCGATGTGGGACTCCGAAGGTCCGTCCCATGAAGTGACGTACGCTTTCGTGTACTATGGCTTCGTTGTACGGCATGCTGAAATAAATTGACATGAAATGGCATTCTATATAAATGCATCGAAGTGTGAAGTACTCTAATATACAACCACCAGCTATCACATATAAAATCTGTACTCGCAAAAAGTCATTAAAAATAATGTCATACCTTGAAAAATACTAACTCACATAGCTAAGAGATTTTAATTAGTACCGATGATTAAATAAATCAATTGAAACGGTTTAAAACGAGACATGTATTAGTTTACTTATTTACAAATGATTTTAATTAATGCCCGACGTTGTGTCACGGGGGAAATTTGACTTATATATTTGCCTTAAATTGCGTTACGAGGTCCTGGGTTCGAAATGTAGGGAAACAATTTCTTTTTTTGCCTATAATAGAACCGATCAGTACAACGGATACAGAAATGTGTTCGCTCCATGCCCCATGGGGAGAAAGGGGACGCTCATGAAATGATGGTGTTTCAATGGACGTATTTGGCGAAACCCTACACCGCTCTGAAAATAAGATGAAGTATGATAATATTAGTCCATACTTTGCTTTGTCTTCTAAAGTAGGTAGCCGGTCCCTCCCAACAACTCTGTCTATTTCCTCTTGCGCTTTCTGCTGTGCTTCCTGATTCCGAACTAAGTAGCTGAAGCAGAAACTCATACTCTTCGCCGTCGTCTCGGTACCAGCCATGAACATGTCCATGCACATCGCCACTAACTGACCTTCCGAGTACGTTGGTTTTTCTCCCGGCTCATTCAACACTCGTATGTACACGTCCATAAAGTCATTGTCTTTATTGCTGGGGTGGAACCTCTCCTTATGTCTAGCGATTTCATCTCTAAGGAATTTCCAGACTTTCTCGTGTGTCGCTATGAAGTACGTATAGCCAGAAGCCCTCGGCGCGACGTAGCTCAGAATAGGAAAGTGACTGAATGCACAACCGACCATATCTATGGCAGCAAAGAGATCGAATAGGAGTTTTTGCAAAACTATCATCTGTGGGTCATCTGGCTCGTAACGGATCCCAGCCATCATCGACCACAGAGTGTTTAAAATGTACGTATTGAAGAAGTTATGCATAACGAACTCAGCGCTCCCTGTATCCCCAGTGGCCTTTGACAGATCTTTAACGAGGTGTCTGGCTTCCGAAAAGGATATTTCAGTCATCCCCTTTCTTCCGAATCCAAATTCTTTCAAGTGCTTGATGAGGAAGCGTCTCTGTTCCTTCCAGAGTTCACCGTCAGTAACGAGGACACCCTTGCTCTCTCCCCACGTCCTCGCCTGATAGAAGATTCCCTTCGGACGTCCGTCGATGTCTTCATTATATAACATTTCTTTGTTCGCTTCGTAACTGTTAACGAGGACGATTCTATCTTTTCCAATCTTTATCCCTACCATGTGTCCGTCGTATGAATACTTGTTTGATATTTCTCGAATGCATTTATATAGATATCCACTTTTTTCCCGAACCTTCTGGATCTCGTAGGCGCAGCCGAGGATCGGGAGCCACTTTGGTCCGGGCGGGAATTTCTGTGGTTTTACAGTGTCCAGATACAGGATGAGGACAATAATAGCGATGACAACTAATACTGTTAACCACATCTGAAACGATAAGTAATCAAGTGTGAGCAATATCGAAATGGCAGCAGTGAAAAAGTTGTTTAAATATTATTGTAGTTTTAAATACTTATATTTATTATAATTATGTAGGTTGAATATATTAATAATACTATTTAACGTTTAATGACAGTGCTAAAGCTAATCGTAAATATTTCAAGAAAAACTTCAGTCTAGACAAAAGAATATTAAAATAAATCACCCTAAACGGTTGACTTATTTTTATTAATTATAATTATAAAAGTTAAAATATAGTCAAAAATTATATAAAATAATAAACATGTACGCGCATAATTAATTTAATCCAACCTTCGACTCAAAGTAGATAACGTACAATCTATGATTTCTCTTTTACTTAGATAATTGTATTTGATTCACGCTATCTTACGACTTTAAGAGCAGACAGATTCTGTGTCAGAATAATTCGAGAGACCGTTTGTTTAAACGCGCTAATATCAAGAACCACTGGTTCGAATGAAATTTGGTTTTTGTTTGTTGTTGCAGACCGTTCGTCGAGGAAGGCTTTAAGCTATTAGGTTGAGGGTGTCCGTTGATATCTCTTTAAACAATGGAAAATGTCCGCGACATGTATTTTAATATTGCATCGAAAGAACCGATCGAAATCAAATTACATCAACAGATTAATATGAATCTTGCAAACAACGAAACATCGACTGTGCTTTGCATTAAATGAATAGTAGCGTATCTTGTTAGTCGAGTTATCCGTTACTATCAAAGGGATCTTATCAATGAGACAAATCAAATTAGACAGAGAATATGTCAAGCTCAATTGCGCTCGGTATTGCGCCTTTGATATCGCATTAGTGCTCTTCGTCTTAGACGAGCTGGAATATTGTATTACCTTCACATTGTGTATGGCTTAGGGAGAGTATTGTAACGTGTAATGTAATTGCATCTAAGGGCTCATTGTGTTTGAGAGACGAAATACGAAACTATTTTTTTATTCGTACGTAAGTGACAGACATAGAGATACATTGTGTAAAAATAGGTCAATGCGTTCTCTTCAGCAATCAGCTCGTTTTATTTCAAAAGATTCTATCCGGTTATATGTCAATTTAATATAAACAAAAATATTAAAGAAGGAATAAACTTTTTCTATTTATTTTATTTTATCGTTAATAAAAAAAAAACTAGCTAAATTCCACTAATTAATTAAAATATTAATTACTAATATTATTACACACGTAAAAAATCAACAAAGAAGTCCGCGACACTATATAATATGTACCTCTCAAAAATATCTTACAATAACCATTTTAGTCCATTATATTTAGTACAAAAAATACTATTTTACGAAATGATTTTAAGCGATGCATCTTGATTAATTAATCCATTTAAAATTAAGCACGGTGAATAAATTTTTCATTGCATACAGATTCTCTGAACGAGATATATTTGTATATTCTTATGAAGGAAAAGATGGTAACTTTGTTTACAGGACATTATCTATCGAGTAGGTATTCTTAGTATCAACATTGCCCACTCACGACGCCTGGTTGGGTCGCTCGTATTATAAAAGCGACATGCACTGTAAATGTGACGAAACCTTATTTTCTCTAAGTTGTACCACTGCGCTGAGTACCTACTGTTAGTTAAACATTCTAAGTTCAGTCTGATGTGTTCAGGAAATCAAATCAAAATATTCACCTGTCTTTGAAATATCGAAATCGTCCATTTTGCATAAGGCCTAACAAAAATAAATGGGCTACTTAGCTGAGACAATTCATGTTCATATGGCTCGTTGGTCTAACGTATGGCTAGCAACCGTGGGGTCTAGGGTTCAACATGTACTAATCTATTTATAATATTTCTGAAACACCTTAGACCTCGTCTGCAATATTTGGATATTAAGTGGACGTAAGGAATGTCGAAATTCTGTCCAGGTCACAGCCACCGGCTTCAAATGAGAACGCCGAGAAGTTTGAATCTCCACAGCCACAGTGGCAGCGTATCTTGTTTAGATGTTATAGAGATATATATTTCACCTTCATCCTCACGAAGGCGGAAGCGAGTTCTGTTGGCGGACCTAATTGTCAAATATTGCAACATAGAGTTGTTCACCCGATATTAACCCACTTTCTTTTGCATAACTTTTAAAAATCTACGGACGCTTATCGCTTCAATGGCTCAGATGAAAGTAACACGAAGTGCGCAGGAACCGGTTACGTACGGCGATTCGATTTCAATAATCGTTTGCCAAAATCACATTTCACATATGTTATGTATCACAATAGGTTGAAAAATTGTATTTAATTCGCACTACGACAAAACTATTATGCTTAGGGTACGATGTGCCAATTTTAAGTACGGGGTTTTATTCTCTTTTTGGACACATTCAACAAGAGAATTTCGCTTTCAGATTTTTTTAACAAATAGAGAAGTTACATTCTCTCCAACTACTTACTAATTATATTAGCAAAATAAAAAATAATCTATGTCTCTTAAATATATCTTATGTCTATTCAATAATTAATGAATATAGAAAACAGTAAATACACACAATAATGATAAATTTCGTCTAAGTATATGAAATTTGTACGCTTTCACTAGTAAGAACGCAATATTACATAAAATATTATGTCATTCGCTAAGCGGAATTGCGTTGGTACTGGAATGAATCGCTGAGCAAATAAATATAAACTGTATTTTCACTCACTGTTAGGCCGTCGAGATCCTTCCCATATGTGTTTTCTCACTGTTCAAACCGAACTACAGTAGCGAACTGAACAAAATCGTTCGGTTCAGCAAGTGGCGGCCAAAAGGCAGGGATGTGGTTGAACCCACTATCGCCGTGCCGAATACATATTTCTTACATTTCGCACGAATCAACCACTTTCGCGTAATATCGTCTGTAGTGTGTCTGTTCACGCGCTCAAATACAATACGTTTAACGGTTTTAAACGCCATATATATTAGTTGTGTAGGCTGCTGCACAGTATCCCGAAGGTCGGGTGGAGAAAAATAAATCGCATTTTAAACCGTTAAAAGTGTTGTATTTGAGTCCGTCAAGACAAAATTTAAATTAAATATTTGCTTTTTTATAAGTGTAATGTGTATGCCCCTGACTGACAAAATGCTAGGATCTCTCGCAGACACGCCATTCTTGTATGTTTTATTTATTTATTGCGTTATTAGCAACGCAATAAAACAATTTTCATTCAAAATTAATAATTCAAATTAGTTTTAGAACGGAAAAGCTCTCTACGTATTTTTTGTCATAATATTTATACCTGACTAAAATATTTTTTCTTCTTGTGGGTTAAGGCACCAAATTGTAAGAGCTGGACCCTATTACCATCATTACAAACACTGCAGAAGTGCGATGGTTCAAGAATTTTTGAATGTATTTATGTACTTTTACATATTTTAGGGGTGCATGCATAAGAAACCAGTTAATTTAGTATCTTTAGTTTAAAATAGTCACGGAAGAATCATGCTTCTCAAAAGGTCATCATATAACGTAGGATCGTAGATCTCAAAATTAATTATTTAATATTTATCGGTTTAATCCAGTTAAAACTGTTTTGATTTATAACGTTCTATTAAAATGTCTCAATGACACTAAAAATAATGGCCAAAATCTATCCATACTCGCACGCACAAAATTACATAAGCTGCACGTATAAAACAAGTCCATTTTTCAACTAGTAAAACATATTTGTTAAAAGTGACATCTAGTTTTCATAATAGAGAAACACCTATGTTTTGACAAAAGTACCATCTGTCGGTCTGTATCAGAAGTAGCAGTTTAAAATAAAACTTCTTGATTTTCGAGGTAGTTCTTAGTTATCCAATAGATGTCACTCAAAAATATAAACGTTTAAAAACTAATATCGCAAGGTGGCGGCTGTAATCCAAACTTGCACATAGTAAAGTCATATTGTGCCATTATAGTCTTATTATAAACACAAATCCAAAGAAATTATGTTATTTTTTTTTAAATCAAGATTATAAGCATTGTTAATTAATAGTATAGATCCATTAAGTGGATATTGTTTGCCAAAACAAAACTCTAAATATAAATGTAGAGTTTTTTTAATGAAATAATATACATAGACATAAGTAGGTACATATGTACATTTCTATAATAACAAACATGTTTCTGAATGTAATTCATTTAAATAGAAATTTACAATCTGCAATAATAAATAGAGAATATTTTTTTGTCTCTATGTGCATAAAGCTTCCTTTAAACATTCATTATAATCAATTGAAGTACATATTTACTGTAAAAAAATATATTTGCACATGTTACTGTACAAGAATGCTGTATATGAATTGAAAATTGGGCTACAGAAACGTTAGAGCAATTGGTAAGAGCAGCAGCGGAGTAGAGCGGGCGCTGATTCAAGTCCCGCTCGTCGCATTTATTATTTTCAAGTAAGGTTTAGTCTACATAATAAGAAAGCACATCCAAAGATCTTAGTAGAGTGAAATCGCTACGTTTGTTATACATTGAATTTGAATGTTGAATTGACGATCAAAACGGATCTTTTGGTTGTGAAATGTAACAAACACACAAAATTTTATATCCATGTCAATTCAAAGAAAAAGGGAATCTCTAACTTTAGGAAAAATTTTACCTTCTCTAAATATTATGTACTTATTAATAATCTCATCTGCTATATTGTGCATAACCTAGTTATGGTGGCATATAATTATAGTTAGACGATTGTTAAATTAGGATAAATCATTTAATGAACATTAAATTTTATAACATATTAAACAAACAATATATCAATCATTTTTGTATTAGGGTAATTTATATTCAAGTATAGAACAGAGACAAGTCTCTACTTGCATTTTTGGTAATATTATACATGAATCTAATCTTTAATGTTCAAACGAAGGTTTAATTAAGTTGGCAAGAAGAAATGAGAAATACAAGCAAAGTCGACAGAGACAGAACTAACCGTTTTAAAAGTTGTGCCGTAGTGCGCGTAAGTCGAGTTGCCATCCTCAAT